CTCTCTCTCTCTCTCTCTCTCTCTCTCTCTCTCTCTCTCTCTCTCTCGCTGTCTCTTTCTGCCTTATTTACAAAAACATATATCGAATACCAAACTGACAACTCTGGCTAAATGCAATTAATCTACAAATAACACTGACATAAATGGCAACCGCTACGACATTAAAGTGCATTTTCAACGTTTCTTTATATTATTTTTGTTGTAATTTTTTATTTCAATTTTTATTTATTTTTTACTTTTTTAATCTTTTTTATTTTTCCAAGCCTCAACAACTGTAATGCAATTTGTTGCTAAAAAGAAAAACATTTGACGATATCTCACGAAAAATATCTAATGACTTGTACAGCAACAACAACAATAACAACAACAACGACGACGACGACGAAAAGCAGCAATAAGAGGCATTACATTAACAACTTTAAATATACACATCAGCGATACACAAAAAAAAACAAAAAAAAAAACAAAAAAAAGCCAGAAGAACCACAGCAACGAATTAATAAAACTAACATTTTTACATAACACAAGATCAACTCAAAGCATGGATTCAAACATCTTTCGACACATGTTCGCACATACGGATATATGTTTAGATGTAGGTTTATATAAATTAAATAAAATAACACAAAATATATATATATATATATATATGTATATATATGTATATAATAAACATCTAAGCTTTGTTTAACATGCGAAACAATAGCAATAACAACGATAATAATAACAACAATTTTTTATATACATTTTACGCAATTAGCGACATAGAGTCAGATAATTCGCTTATGGTTATTAATCAACTTTTCACCCAAAAAAAGTAAAAAAATAATTATGTTAAACAAAATAGCAAAACAGTTTCATATCCACACACATGTGTATATCGTACACTTCCCGATTATATGTATCCAAGTGGTTAATGTGTTTACCTCCTTACGCGTGCTCAGCTCAAAATTGCGGGCACGTTCGTTCGTTCATTCATTCGTTCATTCATCTAAGCCACCATTCCATTCCATTCATTAGTCTGCATAGGCAATCTTTCTTTCGCTCATTCACTCGGCCGGGTCGGTTACTATAATCATTCAGTTACAACATTTCTCATTGTACAGTTAGAGGTTTTGCTTTCATGATGAATACTATTTGGCTTTTGACATTTGAAGGCAGTGGTATCGTGAAGTTGTTTTCAAACGCCTTCTATTTTGCTTTTCCGTCCGTCTGACTGTCCGTTCGCAACTACTTAATGACTTCATTTGTACGGCCGCTGTCAAGTTACTTTCAAAATATATCACAACAACAACAACAACAAGAACGATAAGAACATCAACAATACAGGCAACAATCCATAACAAAAGCATAGAAAATAACCATTAAAGGCAAATGCCATGACACGCATGCATATTGTGCTAAATATCGTTGGTCAAAACAAAAAAAATTCGTCTTATTTAGAATAAAAAAAAGTTGGGTGTTAACGTTCTCGTTCTCGTTCTCGTTCGCCGTCGCTGTAGCTGTAGCTGTGGCTGTAGCTGTGGCTACAGTTTCTTTCAACTTTTTATTGGTGTTCGTATTTATCCAATTCTGACTCGGTCTTCAAAACAAGTCTAAAGACATTTCGTACGCCCTCAAGGGTTAAGAGGAAATATATTAGATGCATAAAATTGTACGTAACAAACAAGTGTTGCTTTGAAAAACTTCACTTGGATCACTTAACAGACATATTCAAGCAGGATTCGATGAAATCAGAGATCGCTTAACGATCGCTTCTTCTACAACTAACAA